TGAGAAAACATATCAATGAATTATTGGACAATGGGTTCATCTGACATAGTGTGTTTCCTTGGAGTGCTGGAGTTACATTTGTAAGAAAGGGGGATGAGACGTTGAAGTTATATATTGACTACAGAGGTCTAAACAAAGTCACGATAAAAAATAAGTACTCTCTCTCTATGATCGATGACCTTTTTGATCAGTTGCAGAGTGCACAGGTCTTCTCCAAGATAAACCTGCATTCAGGTTACCATCTGGTAAAGATCAGGGCAGAAGACATTCCCAAAATAGCCTTTCGAACCAGGTACAGACATTATGAGTTCCTGGTTATACCATTTGGACTAACCAACGCTCTAGCCATCTTTATGGACTTGATGAATAGAGTTTTCAGATAGTTTCTAGATTAGTTCATCATTGTGGTTATCGATGATATCTTAGTTTATTAAAAAAAACATAGAGGAACATACTCACCATCTGACTCAGGTTTTGTAGATTCTCAGAGAAAAGAAGTTGTATACAATGTTGAGTAAGTGTGGGTTCTGACTTGAGTAGACTACCTTCTTAGGGCACATCATATCAAAGGATGGAATGTCAGTGAACTTCAAAAAAGTTAAAGCAGTGCTCGACTGGGAAAAATTGACATCGATCAAGAAAATTCGTAGCTTTTTGGGGATAGTAAGTTATTACCGCAGGTTTGTAGAAGGATTTTCTAGCCTAACTGCTCCTCTGACTCGGCTCACAAAGAAGAACGTCAAGTTTGAGTGGAACGAGTACTGTGAAAGAAATTTTTTAAAACTAAAGAAACGGTTGACTACTATACCTGTATTGGCCTTGCCGAGCGAATCGGGTGGATATACAGTTTATAGTGATGCCTTTTACCTAGGGTTGGGTTGTGGTCTGATGCTGCATGGAAAAGTCATAGCTTATGGGTCCAGGCAGTTGAAGAATTATGAGAAAAATTTCCCCACCCATGACTTAGAACTTGCAGTAATTATCCACGTCTTAAAGACTTGGCATCATTACTTGTATGGGGAGACCTTTCAGATCTATACCGACCATAAGAGCTTGAAACACATATTCACTCAAAAGGATCTTAACATGCATCAAAAAAGATGGATAGAACTCCTCAATGGCTATGATTACAACATCTTATATCACCCAGGTAAGGGCAACGTGGTAGCCGACGCACTCAATAGGAAAAGTACAAATATATTAGCTCACTTGATGGTTTCAGAATATAGGGTAATAGGGGCTGCACAACAGGTACGACTTCAGGACCTGAAGAGAATCACATATTTGGCCCACTTGATTGTTCAACCTGAGTTGATCCAAAGAATAAAGGAAGCTCAGTTTGTCGATTCCACCTTAGCTGCCCTCAAGAAAGATGTAGAAAAGAGAGTTACTTCATAATTTCGAGTATCTGCCGATAAGTTGCTTAAATTTAAGGACATAATGTGTGTTTCAGGTGACAGTGGATTGAAAAGGAACATCATGACAGATGCACATAGCTCAAAGTTTGTCATGCATCCCAGAAGCACTAAGATGTATCAAAGTATGCGACCCCAATTTTGGTAGAACGGGATGAAAAAAATGTGGCTGACTTTGTTTATAAGTGTTTGATATGTCAGTTGGTCAAAGCAGAGCATCAACGCCCAGGCGGGCTACTTCAGTCATTATCAATCCGGGAGTGGAGGTGAGAACATATCACAATAGATTTCGTAACTGGATTACCTAGGACACGCTCAGGACACGATGCCATCTGGGTAATTGTTGACTGACTTACCAAGTCTTCCCACTTCTTAGCCATCAGGATGACCAACCCCTTGGACAAGTTAGCAAGAATGTATATTCGAGAGATAGTCAAATTA